TGTGTGTGTTGACTTAAGTCTTTTTCGTTTATCGAATGATACTTGACGATATGGTCGAATTGAGTAACAAGAGGTAGCGGCAAACATTTGTCACTAATAAAGAAAATCAAACGCTTCTTTCTTTTATTTGATTGATATGATGTAACAATACACAATAATAAATCTCATCTCTGATTTTATTCTGATAAATATTCGAATAAAGAAAAAAAAAAAGAACATAATGAATCGATACAAGCCAACTGTTAGTCTATTGTTATCGAGAGTGTTTAGAATAAATCAGGCGAACAGCTTTGATGAGCTCCCTACCGTGCGTGATACGTGTTTGTCAACACATGCACATGTACAGGTAGAAAATATCGAATGTTCGCTCATTAAAATAGACAGATAGGTGATCTACTGCTATGATATAAGGTGGCATACACTTGATCTTGTTTTTCGTATGCATAATCTAACTATGAAAAGAAGCAATTAGTGTCATTACTAACAGAATAAAAGACATGGACAGTCAATAGTGAGAGTCTGTCCTGCATCATTTCTTTTTTTTTTTATTTCTTTTTATATTCTCATTTATACTTGCTCATTTGAAAATGACACAGGAGAAAATTAATGAGCACCACCCACTCAGCAGGAAAGATCGGGTGTGTTGAGAACATTAGTATACGAAAAAAACATATGTCCGTTCAATTTTTTTTTCTTTTAACAACAAAGAAGTAGAAAAAAAAAGAGAAGAAGACGATCAACCACTTGAGAACAACAATCAATTTCATTTCAATGAAAAAAAAAAAAAAAGTAATGAAACTCTTGTTCATATATTTCTCGTTTCATTTTTACTTTTTCTGAAAAGTATCACTTAAAAAATATATATAGAACAAAATTTTCTTCTTACTTTACAGACATTGTATTTAAGTGTAGAATGAACAAGTCCAAAAAGAAAAAAGAAAATTTCAAAGTCAATTTATCTATGTAGACAAATAGCTTTTATTTCATTTTCAATAGATATATATATCTGTTTTGTGTGATTGATTTTTATAGAACGAGTTTTACTTACGTCTTTAAAACTTTTACAATCGTAGAAAAACCTTTAAGGTTTGATTTCTCAAAAAAAAAAAAAAAGAAAAATATATGATATTCAATAACATTTGTACTAGTCTATTGGTGCAATGATAGAGAGTTATGAGTAATGTTTAGTTTAAAAACTTCACTTGTTGATATTGAAATGATGATAAAAAAGAAATTAGATTTGTTTAGATACATATTTTCGATTTTAATTGACTTCATTTGTTTTCTGATTGTAGAAAACGAATTCAAACAAAAAAAGTATCTTTAAAAATGATGGAAATATTTTTTGCATAAAAACTTTCATTGACTCAAAGGTTTGATTAATAAATAGTATTTTTTTTTGTAAATAAAATATTCAACAGATTGGATTAGTTTAGTTATTGTTGTTGATCAATAAAAATAATTCATAAATAATGAATGACAACTTCAATTATTTCTCAAAACAAAAGTATTTATGTATTATAAAGATTTATCTGTTTTGAATCTGATAATATTATTTGTATCAATTCGAAAGTATTACTTTAAAAGTGTTTTTACTAAAGATTTATACATTCAAAATTCATTTAATATCAAATAATAAAAGCATTCTGTTAGATTAAAATATAATAGATATCTGGAGTAGAATGATGAAAAAGTCAATGAAATCAAGTTTAAGTATGATAATAACTTTTTAACTAGAAATAACTAAAATAAAAGATTTTTTATTTTTTAAAAGAATTTGTTTGTTTCTATTCATAAAGATTTACCAATAGTCATTTTTCGTGTGCTCGTTTATTTTTATTGATACGAGCTTCTTCATTAGTTTTAAATGATGATACAGAATAATATGACATAATGAGATTAATTCATAGAAACCAGTAACAAAAGATATTGTTTTAGATCTATATTCTAATAATTTTGGAAAGAAAATTCAGTTTTACTGTATCTTCTTATTTACCGAAGATAAATAAAATATATTGTTGTATATTCTCAATATCAAAAATAAATTCATAAAAGGAAATAAAACATGTTACTAAAATTCATTTTCTGAGAAATCCTATAAAGAATAAACAAATAATATAGAAATAAATAGGTGCTATCGTTTTTTTCTGTGATTTTTACATAAATGTTTTCAACCAAAGAATTACATAATAATTAAGTGTACATATTTTTTTGTATAATACGCTCACTATATTTCAAATCTAGTATTATTCACAATAAACTATCAAATAGATATCACATTAATAATTCAGCAGTAAGATTAAAGAAAAGTTTGATACCGTATTACAAGTATATGTCTTGTTACTAGAATTGAAATCATCTTTGTATTCATCATCAATTTCACTATGACGACTGTTGGATTAATTTAAAATAGCAGACAAATAAAATAGAAGTTTTTGTTATGCATCCAATGCCTGCTATCATATGATATGTTTTGATAAATATTTGTACATGACAAGTACGGATAATATTTATAATTTATAGCTTTCTTATTATCGTTCTTCTTTGATTGATTTGCTATTGACTACTTAGTTTTATCTAAGGAAAATACAATGTAGATTGTGACTGTATTTTTTAAAATTTTAACATTAGGTGGCTTAAGTATTTGAACTGAATTAATTCAAAAATGCGGATGAAGTTTCTTTGAAACCTTGATAAATAAATTTACACAAGTACATCGAATAAAATGAATATTCACTGTTAAAATGGAATCGAATTATAAGAAACATTTTCAAATATTTTTCTTCCTAAGCCGACTTAGTACAAAGAAAAAACAGTTCGTTCTTTTGTCCATCGTGTCGTATTAGCATCAGAAAAAAAAAATCTCCTTCAAATTTATTCATTAAAGTTTTGATTAAAAATTTGGTGATTGTAAATTTAATTGACATTGTTATTACATAAGTACTCATTAATTGAAAAATTACGGAAAAAAAATGAAAGATAACTAAATAGTAGCTGAATAACGAAAGAAAAGAAAATTTCCTTGATGGAAATTTAAACTTTTTATGATAATTTTAAAAAAAAAGCTAAAAGCTTTCAAGTGACCAAGTTTATGTTTAGTTGAAAACAAAGAAGAAGCAATTTGGTAGACTTATTTGTCTATATATTCAAAAATTTTACGTTCATATAAATACATTAAATCAATAGTATAGTTGTTACATAATTCCAATTTCTTTTGTAGAATATCAATGTATATTCGGACTGACATGAATAACGTATTATTAAAAAGACAAACTTTTACATAGTGATGATGATGTAATATTACACTTTGAAATACAAAAGAATAGTATAAAAAAGAAATTTTAATTGTGAACAGTATTCAATATATATTATAGTTTTGAATTTTATATTGTATTCCTAGTTGATATTCATTGTTTATAATATCGTGATTCATTGAAAATTTGAGACTATAAAGTCATTTAGAGATTTGTAAAATTTTATTGGCATATATTAAAATCGACATATTTTCAATTGAGCTTAATTTTTGATCAATAGATCAAGTCGATAATTAAAATATTATTACGATCGATTTCGTATACAAGTCTTTATTTTTATATAATATAAATTTTGTTTATTATCATTCTTGAAAAATAAAAAAAATAATGAAAATTAATTATAACAAAAATGAAAAGAACATGTTTTCTGTCGAAAGAAGAGTTCTTCTTTCGATATGAATCTATGCTAAAGCTATGTAAAAAATAAGTTATGAATAAGTTGAACGACTATCTATATCTGTTTATTAAAATATCCATTAATTTCAATCGAAGAGAATAACGCTGAGTAAATTTAACATTTTTTCAAAAAAAAAAAAATTTTTTTCAATATTCGTCACATTAATAATTATCATTTAATTTCAAGATTAATAATATAAACCTAAATTAAATTTACATTTTATTTGAAGGTTAAAATTATACATGGATTGAACAAACATATACACGGATAACATTTATTCACACATTTTCGTTAAAAACAAAAAAGATTTGATTCACATAATTTACGCAAGCGTATTTCAAAGGTCTTCAACACTATGAATAAGCATGCATGCACCATTCGTCATCAATTGTCATTTATCTAAACAGCTAGCATTTACTACAAACATATGAGACCATCAAGCCTCTATCAAAGTAACAAAAGAATGAAAAGAAACGTGAAAAAAGTACTTTAATACATGTATATCAGCTAAAATAGCAAAACTTTCTTATTTTTGTTTCGTCAGAGTAATTTTTTTTGTATTCGTTTATTTCTCATTTTTGAATATTTATGAGTGATATAAGCAATGATTTTTTTTTTTTTGTATATGTCAGAAGCGTCTAACGAATGCAGTCATCGTGCATCTGATCGACAGAAGAAGAGGAAGAAAAAAGTTACCATGATTTTGAGTAGCATAAAAAAAGAATCAAATGAAAAGAAAAAAAAAGAAACTCGTCGCAAAATCTATGTGTTGCTTGAGTAGGACATTTTCTCGTTCTTTTTTACTGCTGAGCGTCATTATTTTTACCTATAGGCAACATGCGCAAGACTATTTACCTTGTTATTCTCGTCAATTTCACTATTCTAGCTTTTGAAACAAGTATTGCACATAAACATTTCGTACCTCGACCAGACAAAGTTCATTTGGGTCCTTTAGCCTATCCACGTCGATGGGGACATTGGTGTTCTGACGATAGTGAATGTGGCCTTGGATTTTGTCAAGCTTATATATGCCAATGTTATTATGGTTATATTACATGGCATTTTATGGAAACTTGTACTTATCAACAACGAACAAAATTAACAGCTTTTCTTGTTTCATTTTTTGTTGGTACACTTGGTATTGATTGGTTTGTTTTATCAAGAGGAAATGCTGGATATATTATAGCTGGTATTGTTAAATTACTTATATCATTGGGATGTTTTATTGGATGGCCGCTTCTTTTTGTTAGTAGATCAAAAAACTCACGTAAATATATAGCTATTAATAGTTTTATCAATGCTATTCTTACTGCAGCTTCTGTTATATGGTGGCTAACAGATTGGATTCGTATTCTAGCTAATGTATTTTATGATGGTAATGGAGCACCTTTACAAAGATGGGGATATGATTATTATTATAACAGAATTCCATATCGTGTGTAAATAAATTGTATATATAAAGAAAATTGTGATTAAATCTTTGTTTAAAAAGAAAATATGTGTACTAAAATTTTTTGTTTTTGTTTTTGTCATATTATTGAACTTGATATATTTTATCAAAAAGGAAATTTTGCTATTTTTAATGCTTTGTAAATTTGATTGTTTCATAAAAATAGAACAGAACATGTGACGAATAGTAACAAAGAAAATTAATAAAAAGTTTCGTCAAAAGAAAAAAAAACCAGTAACTAAAATGCAGAGTCGAAAAACATCTCTTGATAATATTTCGAATATAACTGCATTTCTCTATGGTTTTATTCTTATACATTGCAAAATAGTATGCATTGAGCATTTATATATCAGTTGCCTGATTGATATTTTTGTTTTGAGGATACATGCTTAATATATTTACTATTATGAAGATTTTTTCCGATTCGTGTTGGATTTACCTTAGTATATTTATCATTTAATTATTCAGAAAAGTTAAATGCTATTATTTTTCGTATTATATTCGTTCTATTATCTCCAAAAAAAAGAAAATACATAAAATATGGTTAATATGTCTTTCTGAAAAATCGAATAGGAGTATTTTGTTGATAGAATATGGAATATATATATTTGTTTTACAACGAAATTTTTGTGATTACCTCATCCATTTACCTTAGTGTTTAATGATAAACTGCATACCGTTATGTGTACGTCTTATTTTCATGCTGACTTTTGTCGACTTAGCTAACAGATCAGTTCTACCTATTAATAACAAAGAAAACGAACAATTTAATTTTACTAACTATAGCAAGAATTCAAATAGTACTAACATATGTTTCAATAAAATAAATTGTAATATAAAACGAACGATGTGTAAATATGACTATATGTGTATGTGATCCACGGATGGACAACTTATGGAAATACAATGCGAATGAATAAAAGTTGTTCGCATAAACAATGTTCGAAAACAACAGCTGTTCTTATCTTTGCATATTTAGGTAGTTTTGGAATCAATTAATTTTATTGTTCCAAAGGAAATAGTGTATTTATTGTTATTTTCTAACTACTCATTTTCTGTGGATGCTGTAGTGGATAACTTCTTCTTATGTTAAATACATATAGATTTTAGAGCATAATGATCATCATCGATTATATTGTCAGCATATTATTCAGTTTAGTTTTATTAGCTTGATGAATCACTCTAATTTATTTTTATATCAAATTAAATATGACAACAAAAGTGATTCGATAACAAATATTTGGCTTGTACACAAGTTCTATCCGTATGCAAAACTAAATTCATGCGTTGTGTTTTTTTCGTATCCAGTAAAATCGATTTAAACTTTTCTGACATATATATCTAAATATAACAGATTTAAATGTGATCTTCGCAAGGTATACAAAATTTTGATTTCAATACCTTCGAAAAAAAAAATTCTCTATATGAAAAGTACGAACATGATCGTTTAGATTCAAGCACGTATTATAGAAACAAGTACCGTTCTTATAATAAAGACATGCTTATAAAGAAGAAAAACGATGATACTTGTTAAATTTTTCCATCAAAATGCATATACTATTCTAAAAACAAAATAATGATAATCTTTGACCAACTTATATGTAGTAAACTACAGTAATGATTAACTATTGATGAGACGACACTCAAATAATAATTTTTTTAGAAGATGAACTATAACTTTGAAATTGTGTTGTAGATTGAGCTTGGTTGATAAATTATTGATTAAATAATGCCTGAAACTATAACATGCAATTGTTATTGAATGTATTATGAAGAAAAATGATAAAATTAAGATTGAAATTCCAACACGTACACAATGCATTTCTTTTTATCAATGTTTATCTATTGTTCTTAGTTATTAGTAGCTCTTTTTGTTCTCTGTTATTTTCGTTCTCTTCTTAAATATTTTTCATGTATATCTTTTCATGATGTATAAATTGTAATAGAATATAATAGTATTATTCTTAAAATTCAAGAAGAAGAATCGTATGTATAATAGTCATGAAGATGTCTAGATATTTGACTATTCATCGGCTTGTTCTTCGATCAAACTTCAATATCTTCTAACACACGTACACGTATGGATTGATATAACAAAAGAGATATGTAACACAAAAAACTTCATAAATTATACATAGTGTTCGAATATCGTGATGAAAACGCAAATTTACTTAACTCGTTCATCAATACAATACGTGCAAATTGCTTCTCTTCTTTTGTTATACGTTAATCAATATAAACAATCTCTCTTGTAGATATATATATATATATTCAAAGAGAGAACATCACGAAATCGAATTAAGATAATAGAATATTAAAATGTGTAGAATCTACTTTTTGATACTAAGAGAAATTTCATACGTAGACATTTATATCTAATACTAGTTAGTTAGTTATATATTAATGTCATATGTAGCATATTCAGGTAGAATTTGTGCTTAGTTTAATGGTTTATTAGATCATCTGTAATATTTCCTACATTAATTACAAATTAATAGAAATCCATTTATTTAATTATTTTGAGATTTTGTTTTTACTTCTAACAAAATAATCGTTCTACTATATATTCTATTTTGCAGAAAAAAAAACTAATATTTTATCTGTTCAATACAATTATCAAATGACAAACTTCATACAATTGTTAATTGGTATTACATTGGTATTAACATTTGACTGTTTAATTAACATAAACAGTTCACCTATTGATGGACCACCAGTTGTTGTTGATCTGACCATTGGAAATACCAATGTAGGAAAAGATCATAAATGTACTATCGATATACATTGCAATGGTCATGGACAATGTCGTCTAAATGAAACAGGCTGTGATTGTGATCGAGGATGGATTACATATGACAATCGTGCTGATACGAATAAATACTGTGATTATCAACAACGTTCGAAAAAATTAGCTTTTTTTCTTTCATTATTTCTTGGTTTTTTTGGTATCGATTGGTTTTATCTTTCACGTGGACATCTAGGATATATTGTTGTTGGTCTATTAAAATTATTAATCGGATGTGGATGTTGCAGTGCATGGTCTTTAACATATTTTCGACAAGAAATTCAAAATACAGAATCAGTCAAAACAAAACTTAACGGTGTTGGTATATTTTTTAGTTTAATTACATTTGTATGGTGGATTGTCGATTGGGCACGTATTTTAGGCAATAAATTTCCTGATGGACGAGCAGTAGGACTTATTCCTTGGTAAACACAATAAAAATAAACTGATTATCATATCTCTTTTTTTTAATGTTCATTTATTCACTTTCTTTTTTTTTTTGTTTGTTTGAAAAGTCTTTCTAAATATTTCTAGTATAGACAAGCATTTGTTTCATTTCAATTCATCATTCATTTCATAATAAAATATGAATATTACATTAATCGAAACATTTATTTATTTGTTTTTTTTAATTACAAGAAAGAGAGAAAGAAAAAAAGATTTAAACGAGATCATCATCAAATAGCAAAGTTACACTTGTTTCTGATGTTGGTAATGTACGATGAATAAATAAATCATCTTCATCATTTGGATATTGCATTGCTGATGGTAAATTTCTTTAGAAGAGAAAAAAAAAAGAGTTAAATAAATCTATATTAGAAAAACAAAAACAAAAAAAAGAATCTTTTATTTTACTGTAATGGAGTTGAAAAAAGTCTTTGACGAAGTGTTTGAATTCGTGCTGTTGTTGCATCAACTGGTGTTACTGTTAGTGTTGGTATTATAAGATTACGATTATGATCATTTTCAATTGGTGGATTTTGAATTGATTCATGATTTTTCGCTATTTAATATTATTTTAAAACATTGAATTAGTAAATACAATACGGATCAAAAGTAACGATAATCTGGATTTCTCCCATCCAAGCACCTTCATTTGTGTGAGAACTCTCATTCGTTAGCGAAATATCTAGCCTTTCTACCGTAAATTTTTCGTGCAAAATTACCTTTGTCTTATTGAGTTCTATATATATAATTGAGATTTGTTTGCTACAGACACATCAATGTTGATCGATAAATTGACTATAACTCAAATAGATTTTAATTGGTTTTTTTCTCTGAGGAATCCTCAATAGTAAAGGAAGTTTCTATATTAAAAGTTAAACATTGAGTACTTTATTTATCAATCAAAAATTTAATTTTCAACCGATGAAATAACAGAAAAATAACCAAAACTTTTATCAATATTTTTATTTTTCGAATTAAGTTTTTTTCGATAACTTCTATTCAGGAATAAATATCATTCTCTAATTTGTAGGAAAATTTTCTTCACTATTGAAGATTTCTCAGAGAAAAAAAACCGATTGAAATCTATCTGAGTTCTAGTCGATTTATCTATCAACATTGATATGCCTATAACAAATGATTCTCAAATACAAACATAGAATTCAACAAGACTATAACGGTCGGAAAGGTAGATATTCGGGTATCAGATTTGTGATAAAGTTTTCAGGTCCAACACTCGAACTTTTGGTTATTTTCGGCCCAGTCGTGTGTATATACTTACATATAGCAATATCAGGAACTTCTAATGAGACTGTTGGGTATATACTTAGTCGAGGTCGAGTTAATACTTCTGCTAATTTTGATTTCGTACCAACAGCCTATGAATAAATATCGAAATTGTAATGATAAGAATTTCATCTCTTTTGTTGTTTTCTTGAACAAATTACTTTTAAAACTGTATCGAGTAATTTAGGATCTGGTTTTGGTGGATGATCGACAATAATTGGTTCTGCTTGAACAATTCCATCATCATGAGTTGTTTCTTCTTCTGCTTTAGATGAACGTTTCATTAATTTTCTTTAATAGATAAAAAAAAAAGAAAAGTCAATAAATTTTGTTTATATTCTTTTCTTATTTACTTGGCTTTTCGACGAAGAATTTTACCAGCTTCAGGAAAATCTTTTAATTGTTCATTTAAATCTGCTTTATGTAAAGTAAATAATGTTGAAAAACCTCGTGAAATTACCTAGAATAAAATCAAACATCAAAAAAACAAAAAAGTTTAACGAAAAAAAAAAAAAATCAAAAACACTCACATCAGCTGTACGTCGATTACCACCTGCTACTTCAAGTAAACTAATTTCACCAAAGACTGCACCATCTTCAAGACCAGCTATACGTTTGTCATCAATAAATACATCAAGTATTCCATGATTAACAATATACATTTCTCGACCAATTTCACCCTTGAAAACAAAAAATTTTATATCAAATTGATTTTCGACAAAAAATATGTCTAACTTACTTTTTTACATATATAATCACCTGGTAAAAATAAAGTTGGTTTTAATTTAAGTACCAATGAGTAAAGAAAAGATCTTTCACAATCCTATTAAAATATTCAACAAATATATAAAAATATAAGAATTAACGATGAACAAAAGACAGAGAATATCATGTAAAACAAACGTAGATCTTTTTTTAAAGTTTTAATTAAGTAAAAGCATAAATTAAATTGTCAATGATTTGATAATCTATTCATTTCATTTTGTTTTAAAGAAAAACACAATTATATTTGTAAACAAAGGTTAATTTAAAAAGAACTATAAAAATTAGTTATCTAATTATAAGTCACTGAAGAGAATCAAATACAATCAGGTTGAATCAGAATTTCATACTCTCTCTCTCTCTCTCTCTAACTATATATTAAGAATCCTTTTTTCTGGTTTACAGTTAGTTCATCGTGGACAAATCTTTGATGACTGACGAAACTAACGTTTGTACAAAGCACTAATTTGAAAGGTATTGGTAAATTTGTTTTAGTTTTTTTTTTGAAGATTTTGATGCTCTTTCTAAAGGAGATCTTCAAAATATTTTACTGACTTACGACTGGTTAACTATAAGCAAATATTTAAATAAAACAACGATGTTGCTTGCCTTAAGTAAAATAGACTTTGTTCTATTATTATACATTACAGTAAGCTCAAACTCAAAAAAAGAATCAAACTTTATATAAGCTTTTCGAACAATTATTTTGTACGTGAGACGGCATTTTTCTCAGAGATAAATGTTAAGATCATGCAAGAGTCAAATAAAGACAAAAGAAAGAAACAAGCCAAAGCTGTGTTATATACATACCAATTAAAAACAATATCAAATCTGTACATAGATATATATACATATTTACAACATTGAGATATAACATGAAAACAAAAACGTACCTGAAATAATTGTACTTTTGATAATGTATCATAATGAATACTAATAGCAAGTTCAGTTTGAAGAGTCGTAGGTAAAAATGATAATGTTGTATCATCATCTTCTACTCATATGAAATAAATTTAAGATTTATTTAAAATTCTTTAGATATGTACACGAAAAAAAAAAGAAACATCATACCCAGTGTATTTCTATCTTCCCAATTGTATTGAAACCAATTTCTAACTCTATCTTGTACAGTTTTTGGTATTCCAAATTTTGTTAAATATTGCATAACTTGTTCAACTGTATTTTGATATTCAGAACGTCTTTGATTCATTGATTGAAATACATCACGTATTTGTCCAATTAATAAAGCAAATATAAATAATGCTAATAAATATCCTGTAATAACAAATACATATTCAGGTCCTGTTTCAGGACTTGGAATATTTCCAATTGTAGATGCAATTTTAAAACAATAATAAAATGAATATGAATATGCACTCATACGTGGTTGATTTTCTATTTTATAAACCCATGCATTATCAACACCATTTCGACGTTCATAATTTGAAAAAAGAAAATAAATACATGCATATACATGTACAGATAAAATAACATATAAAAGTAATGCAATAATTCTTACAAGACGTACACTAGCAAAAAATGATTGTACCCAACGATCACAATAACGAAAAAAATCTGTTAATGAACGTAATTTAAATAAACGTGATAATCGAAAAATTGCATGAAAACCAAAAAGAAAATAAAACATATCGAATGGTAAAAGTGATAAACAATCAAATATAAATCGTAATGAATGAAAATATTTCATTGCAGTTAAACGAAATGATGTCTAGAATAAAATTTGAAAAAAAAAATCATTGAAAAGATTTTTTTGTTTTTGTTTATTGATTACATACAATCCAAAGTCCATTTTCTAAATATTTAATTCTTGTTTGAACAAAAAATATATCGATTAAATAGAGTACATCACATAAATAATCGATTAACATCCATATCCAAATATATGTTTTGCCATTTTTCCATATTGGAAATGCTATACGTAATGGAATTGATATAAAATTATATAAATATGCCATTGCCACAAATGTTAACCAAATTAAATGTGCATTACCTTATTATAATTAAAAAAAAAACATATTGAAATCGATTTCATTTTTAACTTACTATCCGCATCAACCGGTTTTCGAACACCAGATTTTCGTATACAACGAAAAATAATTCGTTGTAAACGTTGTTTTATTCCATTGCCTTCTATAGTTAAACTAGGTGTTGAAGCATGACTTTCACTATCTGATGTAAAGATTGATCGATCAGGAAATTGTTGTTGTTGTTGTTGTTGTTGTTGTTTTTCTTCGCTTATAGTAATACTAGCAGCTTAGAGAACAAAAAAAAAATAATTTAAAGTTTCTTCTTTTTGATTTTTTGATCAAAAATAAATATGATTGTTTTTTTTTTGGGTGGAAAAGCTAAACTGCTTATGATTTGAGATCTTTTGTAAGGAATCCATGAGAAATTAGATTTATTCGGTTTTAATTTTATGACTTTCATAGTTTTCATCCTTTTGAATGTACGTGCATGGATGTGTTTCCTGCATTCACAGCCAGTGACGAAGCTCTCTCTGCCCTCCCCCTCCCCCCGAAGTTGAAATAAATACGAGATAAATTCGATTTCTCGTTGAGCTATAATCTTTTTAGATATACTAACTTGTTGTATGATCCTCATAATCTGATGGTTGATGAATAATTTCTTTAATAGCATCAGTTCGATCACTAAATTTTCGACGTAAATTACGTAATTGATCACTAATTAATGATACTTGAGATTGACGTCGAATATCATATGAAAGTGATTCATAAATAAGACTACAAAAAAAAAGAAAAAACAATTTTAGAATAAATCAAATTGTTTAATGAAATAACATTTACTTGCTATAACTTCGAGCAACTGATTTATGTATTTGTTGATTTTCTTCATTATTTTCTTAAAAAAAGAATAACTTTGGTTGTTCTTTTTTTTTTTTATTAATAATAAAATTT